TACGGGTAAATTAATATCTCGGGAACCACGGAGTCTAGGAGGCTGAAATTTTAGGGTAATGACCTCTTGCCCACGCTCAACCTTGCCCATTCGAATTCAGCGTTCTTGCGCTCTCGGGTACCACCTACGGGCTAGTGAAAATTTCGGCGGATAAACTATTAACTCGGGAATCACAGAAGGATATTCATCCTTCAAGGTTTCGAATTCAGCTTTCATACGCTGGTCCGTGAAATTTTTAACTGTTTTCCAATGTTTGAACTATTTCTGCATAGATTAAAGTATAAAGCAGTGGAAAACATTAAAAGGCAATCGTTCGATGGGCTGAATTGCACAAAACGCATGATTGCACCGGCCAGGCTGGTGCACGTTGCTATTTATTGTTTTGCGCTCGTACTAATAAAGAGGTATTTAAGCGTTCTCCCGCAGCTGCTCGCGTCCTTCTCTTGATCGTTATACCTGAGAAAGATTTAAGTCTGAAAACCCGAAAATATAGCAGCACTGTTACTTAGGCAAACAAATATAGACCTGTTTGCGTCAAGTCTGTCCTTGAGAACCTCAATGAAACCATCAGTTTGACGAAGTGCGTGAATTGTCTGAATGCCTTCCACACTTGCTGAGATGTGGTCGAATAACGGTGAACGAGAAACATTCTCCGATCGTTTCAGACTGAAATTTTTTTTTTAAAATGTCAGAGAAGCAATTACTAAATTTTGAACTATTTCAAGATGCGGCACTATTTTTGCATAGTGACATTTTAATGTTTCAGTAACTAAAGGACTGATAAAGTAGTGGTGATGCCTCGCGCATATTTGTGACATTTCGAAACAGCTTTGGTCTTAAGAGGATGTTCCCAGCCCGTGTACAACTTAAAATTATCAAATTCAGCCTCTTGGTGTGCGTTATTCTCACGTACGGCCTAGTGAAAATTTCTGGTGAAAAAATGGCTAACTCTGGAATCGGGAAAGCTGGGAGGCTGAAATTTAAAAGGAGGGTTGCAATTTCTTTGCTCAGGAGATTAGTTAAGCTGGTAATCCCTTTGGGAGACAAACAAAAAATGTTAAGTTTTTTGGTAGACTGAACATCAAGCGGTGTAGCATTGGTCAAAGCAACTGGAAAAGCTGCTAGCTACATAATTGGAAGATCTGTGTATGAATTATAACTAAACTAATGAAATCAACGCTAATCGAAAATTTTAAAAAATCTTATATACTGCATAAGAAGTTTGAAAAAAAAACGCCAATAGTGGCTTGGAAAAAAGATGAAGTGCTGCAAAATGATATTATAAAAAAAATTTTTGATAAAAAACCATTTCCTTCCCGGGTTTTAGCAAAAAATGCTACATATTTCTAAAAAAAATATATAAAAACTTCTACTTTAATTACCACAGAAATGTAATTCATCTTATCAATAAGATACGAAACATCCATCAACAGGGCATAAATATCCCCTAATTATGTCATGATATTTCTCCCAACTTTTTATGTGTTCATTTTTCATATTTTTTTTATTTTTATACATCCTTTTCTGTTAATTTTATTTTTTTTAAGAAAAAAAGCACAATTTTCTCTAAAAAATTTGTGAGAATTTTTGCATTTTTCTTTTAAAATGAAAAGAATTCGATTTAGAGATAGACTAAAGGTTATT